GCTGGTCTTTGCTTGCATTGATTCTTTATTTTTTCTTTGGCCATGTCTCAGATAACCCTCTTAATGTGATATAAATTTTGAATGACTCTATATTTCTTTTGCATGTACATGTATTATTTTTCTTACCTATTCTCTTTTTTATGCACCCATAGTCAAAGACTTGGGCCATTTATAGTTTTTGCATTTATTTGTCCATCAGTCTGTTTGTCTCTGCAAAAACTTTAACCTTGCCCATAACTTTTGAGTGGATGGGGTTATGGGTTTCATATACTGGTGGGACTATGGCTTTAATGTTTCACAGGTATAATCCTTATGACAAGGCCAACCTTTTTTGGGGTACCACCAACTTGGCCCCTGTGACCTTGGAGTTTTACCTACTTTTACAAAAAAAATTTCAAACTTAAACCTTGGCCATTACTTTTGAATATTTGATGATAGCTAGCTTTCATACTTTGGTCTTCACAAGTGTATTCACTGTGACAAGACCATAAATGTATTTTTCTCTTTTGACCTTAGAGTTAGATACTCTGACCCGCGTACAAAGAACTTTGCCACAACTTTTGAACAATTAGTACAAGGGCTTTCATATTCCACAGGTGTACAACACCTTCCTTTGGTTACCAACAATTTTGACCCTTTTACCTTAGGATGTAACTTGCATTTGATAAATCCTCACCAGTCACCTGCATGGCGCAGTGGTTAGAGGGTCTGCTCTAGTTTTGCAAAGTAAGGAGTTGATCCTTATGTCGCGGGTTTTAATTCCACTGTGGGATGCGGAGACGGGTCCTTTGGATGAGACTATAAACTGAGGTCCAATGTTGCAGTAGGTGCTGGCAAGAAAAAGATCCCTCCCTGCTCAATGACCCTGTGTTCTGAGTATAGAACAAAATTTGCAGCTCTCCACCGGCAAGTGGTGGCGTCTCCGTATTATTGAAAAATTCTGGAGAGGGACATTTAACAACATACAATCAATCAATCCTCACCATAAGCTGTTATATGGGGGCATCAGTGTTTGGCAAACACATCTTATTTCATATGAAAACTAATTGCAAAAAAGGGCAACTTTAGTTGAATATGAAACTGCACTCCAAACTTCTGAATGACGATATAAGCCCTCAAAATAAATGCTCCATTTGTCCAAATGAAAGGCAACTGTTGTCCTATTTTTTTAAGTTCCAGCTAGTGGTAAACAGTCTAGTCAGAATCTACTGGGTGTATATTTAGCAGTTCTGTCCTTGATTTGTGACCTTGACCTAGTTTTGACTGTAAATTTTGAATTACATTTGAAATGCACGACTTCGATATCAGCTATATCAGCAAACATAATTTTATGAAGTGACGTATAATAAAGCCAAAATGCTCACAATGCACATAATTTTTTGCGTAATTTTTACTTAATGCGTATGAAAGTCAGTCAAGGGCTCTTTAACATTTCCTGTAGATGTGACAGTAGTACATAGATAATCGTATAATAATGGGCATTTATTTTCTATAAATAATTTATTTTCCCTTTTCCTATTTTGATTTTGGTTTATGTGGTCAAGCTAAAAACAAAAAATATACACACTGACGTTTTTACTCTTGTCCTGAAATTATCTCAAATCAATAATAAATTTTCTTTATCATGTACAGTATGTATATATATGCATTTAATGAAATGTTAAATCCTTATCATCTCTTAATTCTAACCAATTCTTTTTTTAATTCTTGAAACAATTTTGTATTGAAGAGCAGGTGATAAAAAAGACTTGAGAAAGAGAGATTGCTTATTATGTTAAGAGTATATTATGATGACCTTGACCCAAAGTTATTTGGGCAAGGCCTGTTCAAGGTCACTGGCAAAAATGGAGAACATTCTGGACGATTAACTTTCAGATTCTAATAATAAAAAAAAAGGAAATTGGTACCTCATAAAATTTATTCCTGAGCTGATTGTGTGTCACTGTCCTTAAACACAAGGCTATTTGGGCAAGTTCAAGGTTACACAGTGATATTAATAACAAAGGTGTAATCCTTGCCTGGTCAATTTCTTTTCAAGTAAGTAACACTGAATATAGCACTTCAATAAAACTGCAAAAATAAAGCTGTCTCACAGCAAAATTGCCCAAAATGCAACCCTTAATTCGCCTTCTCCACTTTTTGACAGCCTTACAGTGCCATTAAGAATTCATTATTGTATTTTAATATACTAGACTTTGTGAAAATATATTATTTTTAAAAAAAAAATGGTTATTTAACTAAACCTGTATTCAAGAGACATTCATTAAAATTATGAAAATTACAATGATATTGTTTTAAAAATAACTGATTATATTATTCCTTCTGATATTCAACTTTTTTATTAGAAAATGTATTTAATCCCCTTATTCTCATCCCTCCCTTGATAAATTGATAAAGGAGAAACATTTTATCATATGCTGACAAGAAAGATGTTACATGTGCCGTACTCAAAACAATTAAAATGCAGCGAAATCAAGAATTAAACAATCTTATATTTAGCCAGGTAACTGTATTTAGGTGAAACACCTGACAGGTAATTTGTATATATGCCCTTTTTATCAGCTGTCTATGAGGATACATAATAATCAGCTGTCCAAATAGTCCTCATGTAGACCACTGCCCAGGTTAACGACCCTCCTCAAGGTCACAGCAAAGGTCATTGACCTCGTTGATTTCTTTGTGATACGCCTAGGTAAACTCCATATTTCATCCATCCCCTCACTAATCAGTAAAAATTAAAAATAAAAAAAAAAAAAGACATTATCTGTAATTAATTTTAATTTGTTAAAAGTTAGCTTATGGTCATTGTTAATGTCACCCATTGATAAAGGTGGAAATGGAACAAAAAAGGTTAATTACCCCATCTTGGGGGGAGAAACATTTATTGTGTATTGGAGTAAGTGAGTATTTGACAGGTACTTGTTAAAAAGGCTTTAAAACAGCTGCCAGTCGATTAGTATAATGATGTCGAAGTCGTAAAAATGCCGAGGTCAACTGCAAGGATGGAGGGCCCATGGAAGGCTCGAGATAGATCAGGAAGGGTAGGCTAGCTGAGCTCAGGATGTAGCCACTTGAGACGAAAACAAATAGCTACTGTGTACCACAACAATGCCCAGCTCTGTCAGAAGGAATGCAAAATAAACAGAAATATTATTGATAAGTATGTGGTCCTATAACAAGATGAACATTATGGGCTCCAAGTGGCAATATTTTCTACGTATTGTTTATGTGTTACCTCCAACTCAGCTGGGGGTGCAGTTGATTTTGTTTAAAGGAGATGGGGAGATGGTGTAGAACTTCCTAACATTGCATGGCATTTAATTTTTCTAAAGCTTTTTTTTAATATGCTTTAAAATTGAATATATTGGCATAAAAAATGCACACATCAGGAATAAATTGTTCTTTGCCCTAGAAAAAAAATAGTTACTAGGATGTTAACTGGCACTTGTATATATAAACATTCCAATGATGTTTTCAAGCTGAAAAAAAAATAAACTATCAGGTATCTCAATTTCCAAAGTCTCAGTCAAAAATGTTCCTTAATTTATTCTGACATTAATGGCACAATTTTGGAGAACTGCTGAATTTTAAAGTCAAGGTCAAGTTGTTTAATCATCCAGTGTACTTTAAGCCCTTAATGGGCAGCTGAAAGGCCTGGTGAGCTCTTGTAGAAATTGTACACCAAATGCCTGTATGTTTGCCTGTTAAATTTTTTTTTCTCAAAATATTATTCCCAAAGTTTGTTTTTCAGAAAAATACTTTGGCATTTTATCTTTGCTGTGAATATAAAATAAGATCTTCAAAATATTTGATTCAAAATACTTGATTTCAGCAAAACTTGGTAATAACAAACTTAACTTTATCAATAAATATGCAAAATTCTGGAAACGTATTCTTATGTTGTGAAGATTCAAGGTTTGTTCAAATCATGACAGCAAGGTGTTGGGGGGGGGGGGGGGGGCAATGAGGGATAAGTATTTACATATTTACATAGGAATATGGAGAGAAGTGAACTTCTTATAAAAATATTCAAAGGAATAGCATGGATTTTTAGATGTAGATTCCTCAGGTACTAGCCCGCACCTCAGATCTCCAGATTTCCGCATTATTCCGCATTTTTTCCTCATTTTAATATGGAAAAAATGTGGAAAAAAATACGGAGAGAATTAACAATACGGAAAAGCAGAAAATATACGGAAATAATCCGGAAAATAAACGGAAATAATACGGAGAATTGGACTTAGTCTATTTTTCATCTGGAAAAATATTGAACTCTTAACTTAGAATATTTTTCATCCGGAAAAAATACGGAGCTCTGGACTTAGAATTTTTTCATCAAGAACAAGATGTGTTTGTGAGACACAGTAGCACCTGGCGGCAACATTAAGTTCTAAAAAGCTATTTTTAGCAAATGGGTCTCAGTCAAGGTCACACAATCATTGTTCTTGGTGTCATTTGAAAGCACTTTATTAGTGTAGTATGCATACCAAATATTGAGTCTCTATCTCTCACGGTTTTAAAGTTATGGCGAAAGTTCGAAAAAGCTATTTTTAGCATATAGGTCACAGTCAAGGTCACTGACCTTGGTGTCAGTTGAAAGTGCCTAATTAGTGGAGTATGCATACCAAATATGAAGTCTCTATCTCTCACCGTTCAGAAGTTATGGCGAAAGTTCCAAAAAGCTATTTTTAGCATAAAGGTCACAGTCATGGTCACAAGGTCATTGACCTTGGTGTCAGTTGAAAGTGCCTAATTAGTGGAGTATGCATACCAAATATGAAGTCTCTATCTCTCACGGTTCAGAAGTTATGGCGAAAGTTCGAAAAAGCTATTTTTAGCATAAAGGTCACAATCAAGGTCATAAGGTCATTGACCTTGGTGTCAGTTGAAAGTGTTTTTGTAGTGGAGTATCCATACCAAATATGAAGTCTCTAAGTCTCACGTTTCAAAAGTTATGGCGAAGGTTAAAGTTGACAACAGACAAACAAACAGACAGACATACAGCTAAACAGACAGACAGGACAAAAACAATATGCGCCCCGAAAAAATTTGGGTGCATAAAAACTGTCTTGGAGTTAACAGCAGTTCTCTGTTTCTCCTGAATGTTATGTACAATTTGATCGGGATCGGAAGAATGTTTCAAAAAGTCGGGCTCAGTGATCAATTAATTTAAACAACAGACCGCCAAAATTTAACCTTGGCCTCCATGTTGCAACGTCTGCTCTGTCTAAAGGAAGAAGTTTGTTGACCAGACAGCCTGAGATCGTATTGCTGTATCAACCAAAAGATGCAGATACACGTATTTCATATGCGGTAGGTCAGTCATATTTTTTTAACATGTGTGTCACTGTGATGATGAAAATAAACACTCTAGGCCTAGGACTGAGCTACCACTGGCTACGTACGTTTCAGCCAATATGCCCATGATTCAAATCTTTCAATCAGCTCATAGAATTTTATTATGGTTAACCACAATTAAAGGTGTTAATTTTGGGGAGCCATGGGCTGTAATCTCTAGCAATGATTTACCATACATTTTTTTTTTTTTTTTTGGTAGCGTCTGTGCATGAGGAGGAGATTTCTGAAAAAGAATAAGTGCTTATTCAACTTACTGCGATTTTAACGGGCTTAAAGCTTGGTCCATGGATGGTTATGTTTGAGGTATATATATTCTTTTTTTTCTTTTTTTATTGCTTGTTTAATTAAAAACAGTCAACTATGATTGTCATTATTATAAATACCGTAATATTTTAAACTAATTGATATTAAATTGAAGAACCCAAACTTGTGTTTATAAAAAGATTTTAAAAGGAATAAAAGCAATGAATTTAAATTTTATTAATATCGCACCATTATAATTTAAGTACTTTTTTTTTTAATTGATAGGAATTGCCAATTCGACTGCAAGTGCTGCTGCAAGAAATTAAACATGCAGAGACCTTACAAATTACAAAGAAGTCTGAAGAAAATTTTTATTGGACAGATGGGTGTAAAGCACAGACCTGAGATATAAATTGAATTGTGAGAAATATGAATCAGGGATGCAGGTAGAAAATGGCAAATGTGATCCAGATTGATAAAAGATGTCTAAAATTTTTTCTTGTTTTGTAAATATTCAATGCTATGTCAATTGTTATTTTTTCCCCAATACCTAATAGTGTTGAACATTTCACTCCCACTTTTGCTTAAATAGAATGAATAAATTTCCATTTATTTAATATGAATATTAAAAAATGCCACATTTTTTCCATGATGAACTTGTGGCTTAAATAAGAGTTCCAGTTTTTTTTCCATACATGCTCCTATTTGTTTGTCAAAGATATAAGATCCAATACATTGCTCATGAACATAATGTGTAATTTTGTTCATTCATTTATATGTTTTTTTCTCATAATGATATAATAAATTGCATATAATTTTGCACATTGTTGATGATTTTGTAAATATTTATGTATGTATGCATCATGTAGCGGTTTTATTAGCCATTTTATAACCATGTGATTAACTCCGTATTTTCTCCAGATTTCCGTATTTCCGCATTTTATCAACCAAGTAAATACCTCCATATTTTGTATATATGGAAATGCGGAAATCTGGAGAGAATACGGAAAAAGAGTCCAAATACTCCCATCCACATTTTCTCCATATTTTGAATACGGAGAAAATGTGGAAATTTGAATCTACGAAAATCTGGAATGAATGCGGAAAATTAGTCCAAATACTCCCGTCCGCATTTTTTCCTTATTTTGAATAAGGAAAAAAATGTGGAGATCTGAGGTGCGGGAGTGTCAATTTCTCTGGTCATTTAGATTTCCTTTATAGTGTAGTTAATCCTAAGGCAGCGAAGATTTCCTTAAGGTAGTGTAGATTTCTAAGCTTGAAACTGAGATTAATTCTAAGCTAGAGTAGATTCCTCAGGTAGCATAGAGTCCTTTGAGATAGCTTAGATCCCACAGGAATGTAGAGTCCTCAGTTAGTGTAGACTCCTCTGGTAGTGTAGATATCTCAGGTAATGTAGATTCATCAGGTAGTGTATATTCCTCAGGTGTAGATTCCTCAGGTAGTGTAGATTCCACAGTTAGTGTAGATACCTCAGGTACCCTAATGTAGATTCCTCAGTTAGTGTAGATTCCTGGGGTAGTGTAGATTCCTCAGGTAGTGTAGGTTCCACAGGTAGTGTAGATTCCTCAGGTAGTGTAGGTTCCACAGGTAGTGTAGAATCCTCTGGTAGTGTAGATATCTCAGGGAGTGTAGATCCCACAAGAAGTGTATACAGATTCCTCTCAGGTGTGTATATTCCTCAGGTGTTTATATTCCTCAGGTAGTGTAGAATCCTCAGGTAGTGTAGAATCCTTGGGTTGTGTAGAATCCTCAGGTAGTGTAGAATCCTCGGGTTGTGTAGAATCCTCAGCTAGGTTGTGTGTATTCCTGAGGTAGTGTATAATTCTTGAGTACTGTGTAATCCTTTGTTAACTGTGTAGTCTTTCCTTTGGAAATATAGATTTCTCAGGTAGAAGACATTTAGTTATTGTTGTTCATATTTTTCATCTCCTGGGTAGGAACATATAGGATAAAAGGGGGATTTGCTGATGAAGATGGACCTTTGTGACTTAGATGATGATTGTAGCTTATTTCAAATTTCAACAAATCAAATTGTTCAAAGTTAGAATATGCATTGATATTTACATTGATTTTGAATTCTATATTAAGGTATTGTCATGACTTCCATAAAAAGGTTATAAGCTGTTGAATTATTTCCTGATACTTAATCTTTTTCGTTGCATATTAGGAATAAAAGAAGGTAGTGATTATACTTCTTGAATAAAAAAAATATGCATGAGATTTAGAAGCACGTGCTCATTATCTGTATAAATTAATACATAATTATCATATTGCAGCATGAACAAATTAGCTGAGAGGAATTTTTGTGCACCTTTAATTTTGTACTTCTGTTTTCATGCAGACCTTGAAGGCCATATATATTTAACATAAGATTTCAAATTTTTTAAGACTAACTTGCATATGAACACTATTCTTAGGAGTCATTACTCTCTCTCTCTCTCAAGAACTTTTTTAGGCTTATATTGATGCATGAAAATAGTAAATTTAAGTTCAAAGTTAATTGTATAAATTTATCATTGATATCATATAGGTTAAAATGTAAAAAAAAAAAGGGGGGGGGGGGGGACAAAAAAAAATCTTTCTACTTTAACTTCCAGTGAATTAACTTTTTAACAGTAGTGAACATACTCTTATTATTTAGTGAGGATATTTCTGTTGGTTAGTTGTGGGTTTGAGTTAAACTTCCGACAGGGGTGTGAAATAGAGTGCTTCCTTTTCCGGTGTGATGAATTCACCAAGTGTTCCGAGATTACAAAGTGAACATGTTTGATAAACTTTTATTTCTTCCTCTTTCAATTAATAATGAACACTTGTAAGACATTTCTATGTAGTTAGTAATAGCTGTGTTACTGAGGATAGGGATATATAAGCTGTTACACGTGTAAAAACAACTACTTATTGTAAATAAAATAAAAATATTATAATAACACATTCTAAATCTGAATTTTTAGTCTGATGATAAAAAGAGGGGAGACAGACAGACAAAAAGACAGAGAGAGAAAGAGACAGACATAGAGACAGAATAGGAGAGAGAAATAGACAGAATAGGAGAGAGAGAGAGAAAAGCAGACCAAGAGGGAGAGAAAGAAAGCTAGGGAGACAGTAAAAGAAAGACATAAACAGCAGGAAAGAGAGATAGAACTGTAGACAGAAAGACAGACATGGCATAGTGCAGGAGAGAGAAAGAGGTAGATAGAGAGAGAGCAAGAGATAGGACAAAGACAGAGCAGTAGACAGACAGACAGAGGCAGCAAGAGAGAGTCTTTAAACAGAGATGGACCAAGTAGGGGGAAGAGAGAGAGAAGGACAATAAGAATGATAAAAAGACAGACATAGCAGGAGAGAGAAAGAGGTAGAGAGATGGAGAGAGAGGGAAAAAAAATCACTAAGAATGAGAGAAACAGAGCAGGAGAAAGAAAGAGAGCTGGAGAGAGAGAGAGAAAGACAGCAGGGGGAAAAGATGAAGAGCAGGAGAAGGAGGTAGAGCAAGAGACTCAGAGGAGAGAAACAATACTCAGAGATAAAGATATCTATTCATGTCATAATATGTAGGTAAAAAAATCTGTCTCAAACCTATTGTAAAAACAAAATGTGTTTGTGAAACACTTCTTGCGCCCGGCAGCAAAGTTTGAAAAATACTATTTTTAGCATATAGGTCACATTTGAAAGAACTTGATTAGTGGAGTATGTATACCAAATATGAAGTCTTTATCTCTCATGGTTCAAAAGTTATGGTTAAGGTTAAAAAAAAGCTATATAGGTAACAATCACGGTCACAAGGTCATTGACCTTGGTTTCATTTGAAAGAGCTTAATGAATGAAGTAAGCATACCAAATATGAAGTCGTCTCTATCTTTCATGGTTCAAAAGTTATTACAAAGGTTGAAGTTTGCAGGAAAAAACTATTTTTAGCATATAGGTTGCAGTCAAGGTCACAAGGTCATTGACCTTGGTTCCATTTGAAAGTGCTTCATTAGTGGAGTATGCATACCAAATATGAAGTCTCTGTCTTCCATGGTTCAAAAGTTATGAATAAGGTGAAAGTTTGCAGGAAAAAAACTATTTTTAGCATGTAGGTCGCAGTCAAGATCACAAGGTCATTGACCTTGGTTCCATTTGAAAGAGCTTCATTAGTGGAGTATGCATACCAAATATGAAGTCTCTATCTTTCATGGTTCAAAAGTTGTGGCGAAGTTTAAAGTTTGCAGACAAGCAGATAAATAGACAGACAGACAGGATAAAAACAATATACGCCCCAGATCTATTGATCCGGGTGCATGAAAAGTGCTGCAAGCCAAGGGACAGAACTGGTCAATCTAAGCACAAGGGAAAGAGTTACATCCCCTTTATTGTTGCAAAATTTCTAAAAATTATTTAGAAAGGATTTATTTAGTTTGTCTCTATACAAAACTCTTCTAGAAAATTTAACAAATTCTTAGGTAATAAAAGTTAATGGTAAAATTATAGTGTAAGTAACAAAAAAAACCAAGGTGTACTTTTTAAGATGAAAACAGTTGTGAATTTATGAGATAATTCCCTCCAAACTTAAATGCTTTAACTGTCAAGGTTACAATTCTAATCACGACAGTCTGCATGACGATTGGTCCTTGGTTTACAGATGTGCTCTAGCTTAAAATAATTACAGAGTTCATTTGATGAAAGCATGCTGTGTTTCTTAAGGACATCTGATGAACAAAAACAAAAACAAATAGATGCGTCCGGGATTTGTAAATATTTTTGGCCGCGTTTTAGATTTTTTGTTGTAAATGGTGCAAATAATATTTTACCAAAATATTAAAAATTAGGATGTTCAACTTACTCTTTTTTTTTCAAATAATTGTATAGAGTGTTGGTTAAAATTGGTCAAAAACTATAATTTAAACAATTTTGAATACTATTTAGCTAAAAATAACCTTAGCAGAATATTTCTCCTTTAAGTTGTTTTCTTTTCTTTTAGAGAGAGGCTACTAGGTCAGGCAAGCTATGTGTACCACAAGCATATAATCTTACTTAGAACTACCTCATACGTAGCAGTTTATTAAGTGGATATATAACCGTATTACAGCTTAGTTGTAATAAACAATTAACAGTATAAAGAGAAAGAAAATGAAGACCCCAGATTTTGTTGCATTTAATCCAGAGGAAAAATATGTCAACCTAAATTATGAACATAATTTTTGTCCCTTTTTCCCACTACTTACAATTAACATTGCAAAAGTTAATTAATGAAAAAAAACATTATGCAATTATAATTATCTGCCTTGCGTGTTGCATCCATTAGATTCTGACAAAACAAGAATATAGGTGCACAAAACTAGAATATTTTATTGTTATTTAGACTAGACATCTTTTGAAACATGATTAATATTTTTATTTTTATTTTTTTTTTTTTTGAATTTGTAGCTTTTAATGACCTTATTTTTTTTTAAATTTCAGATGCCTAAAAAGAAAGAAAGAAATGGAAGATGTGTCTTATTAAAAGAAATGTAGGTAAGTTATTTATTTTAATTTATGCAAGCAAAAAGCTGGGTTATATTAATAATGCTTGCATCCTGGTTGAAATTATGAATTTTAATTATTGCCATTTTTTTCATGTGTTGTAATTAATCATATACATGTATAGTATATTGTAATGACATGTTTGAATAAGTCATTGAGCTATAGCTGCCACAGAATTTTAATGTCTTAATTTTTATCATTTACTGAAAATGGATTTAATTTTGTATTTTTACTTAGTCAGCTTAAGATGGTATTTGAACGTTAAATATTTAAAAGAATACATTGTAACAGTCAATGAAATTGGGAAAATTGCACTGCCGAAGAATTAAAATTATTTCATTTCTAAAAATACAAATTGATGTTGCATTTTCTGAACAGAGCAGCTCATTAATTTGAGTGTAAGAAGAAATCTTTAAATACCCAGTTGACTTCAAATATTTTATTTGCCTGAGCACAAAAAACTTCTTCCATTGATGTATTATAATTTTCTTTTATAATAGGATTAAGGTGTAAAACCTAGATTAATCAACAGAAATAGATACAACACGTCACATTCCAGAAAAGCATTGCAGACATTTTATGTCTGGTCAAAATGCAAGTAACATAGAAAATCTCTGCAGATGCTTAATTATATAGAAAGAAAGGAATTCAATATTGATAAGAAAGATTTATACACTGGCCGGGATAGATTTTTTTTTTTTCATTTGACTTTAATTTTGATGACTGATCTCCTATTGCAGCCACTTATCTCAAAGGATGTTAAAGTGGCAGAGATATTCTGTGATGGCATCCAAAGCATTTTAATAGTTAACAGAGCCGGTACATTTCTGTGTGTCTGGATTTTTCCCGGGTTTCTATTTCTGGCGGGTAATCTTGGATGTGAGAACATGTCAATTTATTATTTTAGATGCACACACATAGTTTTGCTGGCCAATTGGAGATGCAAACATTCTGCCCTGCACAGAGATTAATGCAATGAAGTCTGTATAGATTCTTCTCTCTCTATGTGTGTTTATGTGATCTGCTTCATTTAAAAAAAAAAATTGTTTAGTTTTGAGCCAATCAGAAGCGGGGTTTATTTATAGCACTTGACGTTGTGTCTAGGTTAATTTCAGTGTGTTGAAGCCACTTTTAGAGAGAAGGACATGCTTTTATGAAGTGACAGTGTGTTAGAAATCTATTCAGTGTACCAACATGTTAGCAGTAGAGATTTTCAGACTATGATTAAGAGAGGTAAGACTGTCCTTGTTTATCTATGTGTTAGGCAGCCTGTGTGTGTTAGTATAGAGGGAGATGTGACCTAAATCTTCAGTTGACTGGCGGGATTACCGCTACAGTCTGTGGTCATTTAAGGTCAGCTGAGGACATTGGCTAGCCATTGGTCTGAGTTTTATTGTGTTTGGTCAGTGGTTTTACCTTGCAGATGACCACAAAGCAAGTTAGGAGGGAAGGTTTCTCTCTCCCCTAGGCTATTGTAAAATGAAAGCTGCTATCTCTCTCCCATTGATTTGTGGGTAAAAAGAAATACAAAAGAAAAATGTCGTCAAGTCCGTACTTTTAGGTTTTCAGTGTTTGGTTTTATACAGTGGATGGCTTTATGTGTTGGTAGTAAATGGGACGGAAAAGGTATGAAATTTGTACAAAACGACAGATTTTAATCTCGGGAGAAAAAACTGAAAGAAAAGAATTTGATCACTGTTTCTCTCGAAATAGGAGCTTTAAGGGAAGTAGTTCAATTTGTATTTCCTCAATTGAGAAAATAAAAAAAAAAAAAGATTTGCACAGGTAGATCATTTGAGTATAGCAATGCACGTGACTTAAAGAGAGAGAAAATACATGCGCATTAACTTTTGCCAGGAGAAATAACACATTTTACTCGTGTTGTAATATTTGATCCTGTGCATGCTTTTCGGTGCTTCAGAATCCCAGCTCTTGGTTTAATGGCAGAACTTCGCATTCTGAGAACATAATGGACGTTTGCTTAAAAGTGCTAGTATGCGTCATTGAAGACATCTCATTAGAATTTTTTCCATTTACCTGTTTTCTGCAAAAAGCCATTTTTTATATATATAAAAAAATTCTTGTCTGCCCGCCTGGTGGAGTTTTTTTTTTTCCTAAAGTTAAATTTAACAAAAGGCTGTGTTGACAATTTTAAATGTAGTGGGGTAAGCATATTTCTGAGGTCATTGGCCCTTGGTCAGAAATATAGGTTTTTTACGTCTGTGATTGTTTAAGCTACTATAGCTAAATTCTTTTCATTGACACCTATGGTACATTTGTTTCTTGAAATAACAAAGTAACAGTTAATGACGCATTTCGAGAATCTTCAACAGTTGTTTGTCGAAAGGAAGTGCAATGGTTGACAAATCATGTTTTCTTTTTCTTGTTTTCCTAGGATGTGGTAAAAAATTGCACCTACCCATACATGCATTAATTAATAAAATTTAACTTTCTGGCAATTGTTAACATAATATTACTGTTGGGGCAGACAGATTTCCTATTCAAATGTAATTAACTAATTATCAGTCCTTGCCAATAATTAAGAGAAATTAATCGGCATAATTCACTCTCGCTGGAAAATCCCATTAAAAAATCAGTGTTGAGGATTATCAGGATTAACCCCATGTTCCATTAAAAAAAAACCCTCTCTATTTGTTATTGTTGCCTTTCTTGTGTTTTGGCCCGATAACCATGCGTTTTAAGACAAAGTTTTTAAATTAGAGGGATAAAAAAGCTGTGATGTCGTGCTATCTGGCTGAAATCTAAACCCCCCGCCATCGATCTGCGCTTCACCTTAGCACCTGAGACATCTGAGCGGGGGATATTCGCCTCGGACCTGGGCCTCGCCATTTCACCTGTGATATATTTGAGCCGAAACTCTCGGGTTGTCGATCTAGAAGCTTAGAGATGAGCTGCTTCATTAGGTTTTCTTTTCAGCGTACACGCGGGTCTGATATATACACCCGGATCAAACAGTTGTATGTAGACTGTCGGAGGCTTGATATTTCCCCCTAGGATTAGTTGATTATAGGAAAATCATTGATTTTTGAAAGTTAATGTTGTGTATATACAGGGACTTGTTTTTCAAAGGCCTGAAAATTGAGAGTTGTCGAGATTATGAATATTTTATCTGATGTGATAGAATACTGATGCAAAAGAATGATATATTTTAAAAACATCCTGAAGTGATTAATCAACAGTATTGTAATATGTATAGAAGCGTAAAACAATTATTATATTTAATAATATTTTTGATATTTGCCTTAATTTAGACTAAATAGTAGGCCCGGGTTTTGATAATATCAATAGGAATTAATTAGCTTAAAATAATTAAAATAATGCACTTGGATAGTCAACCATTCAGTCATTTTATACAAGCTGATCAGATTTTTTTTTTTTACCCACTTTAGTACTAGCAGTTCCTAAATTGTTCAGTACTCTTCATAATTAATATGCTCACTGGATAATTATCAAGTACATTTTCAAAAACAGCCTGCTTTAAAATTCTAGAAGAGTACTTAAACCGTTGAATAAGAACGTCATGAGGAAATGGAGGCAGCTAGAGAAAATACGCTCTTCAAAATATTACGTTGGAGGGAAGAAATTCTTCCACTTATTAGTTTCAGATGAAAACAAAAATTTTCTACTATTAGGCTGTGAAGAATCTTGTGTAAATAGTAAACGCGTAGCAGGGCAAGGGAGATTGAATCACAAAATCAGACCTGCCAGCGGGGCTCATCGAGAGAAAAAAATTCTATGTCTGGTTGGAAATGTTGTGTTTATATAGCATTTGCGTGATTTTTTTCCTTCTATATTTCTTGCAGAATTTTGACATGAAAAGAAGAAATTAAGCTAGAGAAACTGCTCTACATTTCTTTGTTTATCTAAAGGGTTGGGATTGAAAAAAGGAAAATTATTTGTTCTCTCTCTCTCATTTTTCTCTCAAAAGATTGGAATTGAAGAAAAGGAAAATTATTTGCTTCCCCCTCTCTCTCTATCCCTCTCTAAAGATTGGGATTGAAGAAGAGGAAAATTATTTGCCTTCTCATTCTTTCTCTTTCTAAGAATAATTGGGATTGAAGATAAGGGAAGTCATTTGTTTTGTAACTCTTTCTCTTTCGGACTTCCACAGGGAAGTATAAGCCACTCTTCAGAAGCTTGTTTGTCTGGGCTTATCTTTACATGAGGAAGAATTTCTTGACAGAAGAAGGAAATTATAATGTTATTAATTTCACATTTAACAAAAAAATTATGTTTTTAGATTTTTTAAATATTTAATCCAACCAATGAACTCTCAAAATCTGTCACTGAAGTTTTTTCCCCCATTCATTATATCCGGGTATACGGGAAATCGGGATATTTTAATTACACTGACAGTTTGTGAATTCAACACCGAGATATTTACTTTTCAGAGTAAAATGAATAAAACATATCCTAAATACTGCATTTAACATTGGGTTCTGTGTAAATACAGTTCAGGTTTTCATTATTTTCAACATCACATTTTAGTGCTTATTTACATACCGGGTGGTACTGAATAGAATCATGTATAGCAAAGAGCCTCACAAAAAATTGAATTCAGACGGAATTTTATGTTGAAATTAAGAACTTGCTGAACAAAAACCTTGAATAGGTTTATTTTGTACAGGGATTATAAGTTCCATTGGAAGTCAGTGATAGAATAGGGAAGATTTAATGGGTACCGGGCTCACTTAAAATATTTCTATCTTAACAGCTAGACCACATTTATAAGACATTATCCCAAAACTAGGAGAATGGGTAGTTATGGAGACCATTTAACCTAAATTTGTAAAAATGGAGAATGCGTGGACAATTTGATGTCAATTTGACAGAGGTAAATTTGGTAAAGATTCAATTTTATGTATGAAAGGAAATGGTTTAAATTTCAAACAGTAGTCATGGAAACAGTCTAAATGTCAAATATGTAAACGTTTGAATGACAATTTAAAAGATTTAATTAATACAACAGAAACTATAACTTTAACAGTTATAAATTTTTTAAAGAGTAAAGTTTTCTATTTAATGTAAAAATTTAGAAAATGCATATGGCTAGACTGGGAATCGTACTCGATTTAGACCCCAGCATTAATAGTCAGGTACATCAATGCTCTACCAACTGAGCTACCCATAACCAATAACCAGAGCTCAAACCGTTACACATGTAATAATTTGGTCAACAGATGTGCTGCAAAGTGCAAAGTGAACAGCAAAATGTTGTAACACTTGTGAAAAGCAGTTATGGTAAACTTAACAGAAGTCGGTCTGATTGGACGATTTGTCGGCCCTCAAGATGAGGTTTCTGCCAGACACGACACTTCATTGCGTTGTCTGTAATCCTATGTCGAATTTAATTATCCCCATTGATTAGGCACATTGTGACGGGTAAAACAGGACGTCTTGTGTTTGAAGAAAAGAAGAAGATGTTTGTTTTGGGGTTGGTCTATGTCAATAGCTTTAGCGGATCATGTGACATTGTCGTGGAGAAGGGAAAGATGTCGGAGAATTCTGTTTGCCGAGATTTGGCCATCGAACAATATCACCCCGAGAACTGTTACAGCTCTTTGTTCAGGTTCCTCTCTGCGTTTGCCCCTAACACGGAACATTTTTTAGTTTTCTTTACTCTCTTGTCAACAGATATTTAATTTAAAAAAAAAATGAATTTCTGAATTTATTACAGATAAAAGACAAGGAACAACTAATGTCAGCTGTTTTTACCCCAAAGGCCAGGAAATATTTCTTGTCATAATTTTTAAGTTCCAAGACATTGGTGCATGTTCTTATTTCAACAGTCAAAGGAAATACAATTCTTTCAATTTACAGACATTTTCTTCCTAATCTTGATTTTGTCTGGAACCCGATTTTTTAAAAAATTCTGGACAGCCAAGACCATAATTTCAGCGAACAAGGAAGAAAATGTTAAGATTGTCAGTTTTGGAGGAGTGGCAGTTTGGAAGATAAACCATGCTTTAGAATTATAGAGTCTTTTGATATAATATAAATTAAGATGTGAGGATTTGGTTCATTTTTGGAAGTCATTTTTCCTTGACGTACATATACAAAAAAAAAACCAAAAGAAAAAAAATCTTGTCTTTCTTTTAGTGCCCACAATCTACGGCCTTTCAGAGAGATGGTCCTGTCACGCCGATATCCTGTTACGCAATCTTATTCATTAGTGGGCGCTCCAAAGTAATTTCAAACTGTAACCAATTTAG